TCGACAGGTCGCCATTGAAGGACGCGATGGACTATCGTGTGTTAGTCAAATCCATGTTCGAGTTGAACACCATGATTTCATGAAGCTACAAGCATATCGCTATGCGCGAATATGTCTAGACACGTGAGGATGCTGGGATAATTCCATACCTTGAGGAAGCTCGTCCATGAGCCTCTGGCCTGGGGTGGCACTGCCGATCCTTCTTTCTCAGCCATGATCGCGATGCACGTATGTTGGGGATTAGTTAAAAGAGGTGGGAGAGGTAAGAAGAAGCGTCGACAGGTGTAGACGCGCGTGTAGGGATGTGTGAAAGGCGGGGGTTGTCGAAGACTAGGGACCTTCGCAGTGGGGACGGAGGGCTGTTATGGAGACGCTGCGGACGGAGCATGTTTAGATTGGGCAATGACGTCGGAGCTAAGCCACACACCCACCCAAACACAACGAGGTCATGACGAACAACATTCTCGCCACGGGGCAGTCAGCCATGCTATTCCATTTATTGGTGCTATGTTACTATTGTGATATCTCGTGTACATTCGTCTAATCATGCTATTACATTTACGCGTTCGCCATTCCAACGACGCGCTTAGGTCTTGACATCGGGCTCGGTGCGGCCAACGTACTCCTGGAGCTTGAGCAGGTCCGTCGCGAGCTTGACGTTGTCCTTGAGGTAGTCCTGCGCGTCCATGTCGTATGTCGACTCGTCGCTGGTGTGCTTCTCGATGTAAAGACGGATGGTGGCGCCGCTGCTGCCTGTGCCGGACAGACGAACAACGATGCGGCTACCGTCGTCGAACTTGACAAAAATACCCTGGTTCTTGCTGACGCTGCCGTCGAGGTCGGTGTAGGAGAAGTCGTCGGCCTCGAGCACCTTGCGGCCAGCGACGGTGGAGCCGATGAAGTCGTCCTTCTTGGTGGTGATGAGCTCCTTCATGTGGGCGGTGACCTTGTTGGCGCCCTCGGTCTCGCAGCCCTCGTAGTCGTAGCGGGTGAAGAATGTGCGGCCGTACGTTGTCCAAAAGTCCTTTTGGATCGACGCAATACTGGGTGTGGTTCCAGTCTGCTGTCCGACACCAGCCAAGATGTTCAACCATGCGACAACAGCCCACAGACCGTCCTTCTCACGGATGTGGTTGCTGCCAGTTCCGAAACTCTCCTCACCGCAGATGTTCATCTTGTCAGAGTCGAAGAGACCGCAGAAGAACTTCCAGCCGGTGGGCACCTCGTAGCACTCGACGCCCTTCTTCTTGGCGACAAGGTCAATGGCGCCAGAGGTTGGCATACTACGGGCAAGACCGTAGATGCCCTGCTTCTTGAAGTATGGGATGAGCTCGGCGTGGTGTGCGATGATGGCTAAGCTGTCGCCGGGCGAGACGAAAGAGTTTGCGCCGTAGATCATGTTTCGGTCACCGTCGCCGTCGCTGGCAGCACCGAATTGGATTCCGTTCTTGTCAACGGCGTCGACCAGCGACTTGGCGTAGACAAGGTTGGGGTCGGGGTGGTGGCCGCCGAAGTCGGGCTTGGGGATGCAGTTTTGTGTGCTGTTGGGGATGCCGAGCTCCTTCTCGAAGATGTCGACACCGTATGAACCAGTAACACCGCTGAGGCCATCGAAGAGGACCTTGAAGTCGGAGTGCTCCTTGAGGAACGACTTGATGAGGTCAAAGTCGAAGATGTCCTTGAGCATCTTGAGGTAGTCTTCGGTGGAGTGTACGATCTCAACCTCGAGGCTTCCGTACTTTTGTGTACCGATGGTGCTGAGGTCGATGTCGGGGATGTCGGTGATCTTGTACGAGCTGAGGGTCTTGGAGGTTTCGTAGATCTTGTTGGTGACGCTCTCGGGAGCCGGGGCACCGTTGGCCAGGTTGTACTTCATACCAAAGTCCTCGTCAGGGCCTGGATGTGTTAGATGGGACGAGTGTATGCGTAGCGGAGGACTTACCACCGGGGTTGTGGCTGGCGGTGAGGAGGATACCACCCGTCGCCTTGCGTATCCGGATGATGTGACTGGCGGCGGGTGTGCTCATGATGCCATTCTGGCCGATGAGAAGCTTCTTGACACCATAGGCAGCGCTCATCTTGGCGATGGTCTGGGTGACCTCGGGGTTCCAGTAACGGCCATCACCACCAACGACGAGGAACGCGCCCTCTACGCCTTCTGGGATGGATTGCAGGATGCTAGCAACGAAGGACTCGGAGTAGTGCTCCTGTTGGAAGACCTTGACCTTCTTGCGGAGACCAGAACTGCAGCAATGAATGTCAGCTATCATCCCTCAACGCCATAGCTTCATCAGACCTCTCAGCTCTTTTGGGTATAGTCAACTTACGTTCCGGGCTTCTGGTCCTGGAAAGGCTTCAATTCAACGGTTCGGACGCTCATATTGACTGTGTATGTTCTTCGAGCTTTGTGAGAGAAAGATGAAGCAATTGAAGAGTCGGGCGATGTGGCAGCTGGCAACTTTTGAGCTGGTGAGGGGCCCAGCTTCCCCCACCACGCGGGATGACGCCGGCGCTAGCTCGTCAGCGGAAAGACCAACGCCACGCTGGCTATCATCGACGACTTTTTCTCGTCAACGTCCCAACACTCGCTGCGCCCATGCACTAGCCCTGCATCTGAGGCCGAGACACTGCACAACACTCCTGACTGACCACTCCCCGCCTCGCTTCGCCCCAGATCCTTTGCGGGGGTACCCTGGCCGTGTGCATACCCTCGTTCCTTCCGTCTCGACTAGAACACACCTTCTCTCCCAACACCCTCAACCACCTGGTCAAAATGGGCATCCAAGGCCTCGCTAGGCGCCTCGAACCCTATGCGACGCGACTTTCTTCCGAGCAGCTAGACGGCTACTCCGCCGTGATAGACGGCCCTGCGCTCGCGTACCACGCTCACAAATTGGCCCTCGCTTCAGCCGCTAGCGCCACACGAATCCCGTCTTATGCAGACATCGTCGCTGAAGCACTCCGCTGGCTGACCTCGTTGGAGAATAGCAACATCAAGGTGTGAGTAAACTACAGTTGCTTTTCAGCGCCCGGCCACGGAACCACCACGGCAAGCCAATAAGGTGCGCACATATGTTCTTCACTTCACCGCCATTGCTGCAGGGGTCGCGAAAACTTCACTTATCGCGGAGTCGAGATGGGAAAGTTGCTTGATTGCACTTGACCGTGACCGTTCTATGCACGTTATGCGAGTGCTGATGTGAGCTTATGCCGTTCACTGCTGATCGCACGTTCTCAGGACTGCCATCTACTTCGATGGAGCCTTGCCCACGTCAAAGCGAGCCGAGAGGATATCCAGGACCGAGGCGAACAACAAAAAAGTGCAGCAATTTCGCAACAACTATGCTACCGTTTCCTGCCCTGTACCCACATACCTAGGCTCCATCTCATACGCCTTTCTTGCGCCTGCACTGCAAGAAGCGTTACTAGATTCGCCCTTTGCCTCAAAGACCAAGGCAGTACCTGGCGAAGCCGACGACTACTGCGCGCTACACGCCAAACTACATGTGCAATCCATCATCTTCACAAGCGATACGGATCTCGTACTATACAACTACTCGGCAGATACGCTGATAGTATTCCTTCACGATGCAGACGTATCCACCGGCATCAACGCGTATTCACCGACCGAGATCCGAAAGCAATTACAAGTAACAAGCCTAGTGACATTCGCATATACCCTTATCGAGAACCCGCAAGATAGTGCGAAGCTTCTAGCTCATCAAGCCCGGAGCGTAGACCAGGGGTCCAGGCGATACCTTGAATTCGCCAGCCGATACGACGCGGAGGATCCAACTATAGTTCACTCAGGTGATTCAAACTTCAAAGAGATACCTAGGATTGACGTACGGCTATCCGAATTCATGTTCCAAGCCTTCGACAGAATAGAATTCCCGCACGTATACATGCCCTTACTCATTGAAGAGCCCAATCAAGCATCAGCTTGGAACGTAGGGCGCGAGATACGTAGGCTGGCATACACTATAGCCGCAAAAGATTCGCAAATGGTAGTAAAAGAGTACAGAAGAAAAGCACAAGGTATCTCCGCCCAGGAAATTTCCATATACCCCCCCTGCTTCGACCAAACCCCCATCGAGGACCTGGAGCGACAGATGCGCGGCTTGAAAGAATGGCGTGATGCAAAGTCCATCACCTCCGAACTCCTATGGCCGCTTTACGGTATCAGTCTAGTCCTCAACGAATTGAACACCCCGCCTCCGATCGCCCTCGTCCAACGAGTGTTGAACTGCGATTTTGATAACAGCTGGGCATTCGTACACCTCACGGCGCGATTACATGCCGCTCTCTACTCATTGCGCATGCTACTCCAGATGATCAAGGTCGGGGAAGCAACAATGGTGCCCGACTTCATAGTAGACGTCAATGATCGACAAGATGTCGAACAGGCCCAGCTGCGCGGAATCATGTCCAAGATCGCCAATCACATGTCCGACTTCCCCTCGATACCGGAGGTCATGGGTGTGCCGGGGCAGGCAAAGCGCATTCTGGCTGAACACGACAAGTTGAAGGAATTGATTGAAGAGATATATAGATCTGCTGGTGTGGAAGTGCCAAGCGAGCAGGTGTCGAACAAGAAGAAGAAGAGGCAGATGAGGGAAGGGGAGAGGAAGAAGAAGAAGGCTGAGCAGAGGATGCAGGCTAAGCCACAGGTTGGTAACGCTTATTCGCTTTTGGGGGAGGGGTGATGGAAGTCGCGCAAAGATGGAACGCAATAGAAACCGCCCGAAGAATGACCATACTTTTCTCAGCAGCCGCTGTCTTCCGATCCTGAAACCACATCGGCTTGTCTCCGACACGCAACGAAGAGACGCACTCGCCACATACACCAGATTAGCCCTCAAGTACTCGCTGACGTTATTCATCATAGATGGCCCTTTCGACGACCTCAAGCTCCTACCCAGAAGCCCATAGACCGCCAATCTTCTCTGTCGTTGAAAGTGGATTTAATCGGATATACCGTCACCACGATAGTTTTGGGTTCAACCGGAGTGTGACCAGCCCAGCTATCGAACATGACACAAAGTTTTGCCCCCACGAGACAACCATAGCAACCAGTATTCCAATACCAAATCCAACCGGGATCGCGAACCGGATTGCGACACCCTAGAGCATCTTGCGGATGCACGATGCAACGTATACAACGGCCATTATAAAGCTTTCCGTCGATCGCCTTGCGCAAAGTGGTCCTGTTCTTTTCGCCCATGAGGTAGTCTTTGTTGAATTTGCGAACGAACTCCTTGACAAATGAGAGTGGGAAGAGATGCAGCGTTTTGAGTGGCATTTTAGGCACTTTGAAGCGGACTTCGACATCGGGGATCCGGGTAGTCTTGGTAATACGTGAGGCCGGGACTCTGGTATCTGTTTCATTCCCATCGCCGTTCTTTTCCTTGTCACTGCTGTCGTTGCCGTCGACGAGTTGCAGATCCCTGATTACGGAGAGCTTCTGGATCTCTTTCCACATGACATCGTCTTCGGAGCTTGTGACTGTGTCAGTGTCGGTTGTGGCGGCGGTACTAGAAGATGCCGTGGTATTGCTGTTGGTCGCCGGAGCTTCGGTGGAAGATTTCTTCACAACCTTCTTTGCGGGCACCTTCGCTACTTCCTGCTCTTCCGCACCCTCTGCCTTGAAAAAATCTTCTTCATCGTCCATCGGCTCTGGACTTGCGTCCCTTCTCTTCTTCCCATCTTGCATGAGGCAGTCTCCCGTTCTCTTCTTGTTTGTATTTGATGATTGAGTTCCTTGCGATGCTGGGGTCTGAGCTGATTTGGGCGGTCCACGTTTTCTTCTAGGTGTTCCTTCTTTCAAAATGTTAGTTATCGTCTTCATAATAAGATTTGACTTACCTTCGTCTGTCTTCTTTCTAGGTTTAGCACCTCGACCACTCTTGCGGCCACCACCACCGCCGCTGTCATCATCATCACCACCGTCATCACTGCCATGTTTGCCCTCTACCGGTGCTGCTGCGTCGTCGGCCTTTCGAGCCTTTGCAAGCCCATCAAGTAGTCGTGTCGCGATGGCGTTGAGAGTTTCTCGAGGAGAACCAGTGTTGAGACCGTGGGTGATGACGTCGAGCAGTTCGTTGTCGCTGATGCTCGCGAGAAGATTGTTTCGTGCGCCGGTAAAGACGGGATTGCCTGAGAGGGCTAGGAGCGCATCGTGGTAGCCTTTGGCGGTTGACATGATGGTGTGATCAGCGAGAATGGGTTCTTGGGAAGAAGTGTAGAGGAAGAGGAGGAAGGGATGATGAAGAGCGAATGGATGGAGGGCGGTATATAAAGACAGGGTGGGGATACGCGTCAGAATAGCAGGTGAGAGACGCGAAGACGGGGTACCTTTACTTCGTCATTGATCTTGATATAAGGCTTTCCGTATGATCACGTTCTTTACGGTGACGGAAAGGTATGAGATGCTGCTGCGTTGTTCACTCACTCTTCTCAACTGCTCGATATACGAAGAAACGTGTTGATCAAGGATTGTATTTGCACAGCCGTCGACCAAGATGTATCTCAGAAGACTACGTCGACTCTTCCGTCTTCGAACTACAATGTGGAAGTCTTTGTATACGTCAACACCTGGAAACCATCATCTTCTTCGTGTATGACTTCCCTTTGATCAATTCCCTCGTGCCCGTATGACAAATTATCCGTCTAGAGTTCCCACCCGAGTTCTCCCGGTAGTTCTCGCTCGCGCACCCAATAGTCCAGCGAGTCTAGCGTTGCCCCACGGCGAGATTCCTGAGGTAAGGGGCAAAAGACAAGCGCGATCTTTCCATCCGCTTGCTCCAGCCGAGCGCACAAGCGATTCGTATTAATGCAGTAATTGCAGGCCTCGTCGATGTTTCCGCTTCGTCTACCAGGCTTCTGTGCTCTCCAAATGATAGTTTCATTGACACAGCATCCGGTGGCGACTCCTTCTTCGCACAGTCTTAGTAGCTTACCCCATTCTGATACATGGAGATCTGTAGAGAGGTAATCTTCATCAAACTTTGAGCCCAATAGGGTGGTCAGGTTGAAGTCCTCATACCCAGCGTAATCTACTTCGTACGCAACGATTTCGATAGGCGGAACGATCTTGTTGTCGATGATCTGCTCCGTCTCATAGTCTCGAAGGCTCACATTTCTGGCGGGGGCAGTAGCCTGAGTGGCGACTACAGGAGGCGTATTGAGTCTGGAACGTTTGCTGATAACAGCGCCGGGAGACGGTGGAGGCGCTCGCTTGCTTGCTACCGACATGGCTGGTCCGCTTAATGCTGGCTGATCGTTGATCACCGTGATCTCGCTGAGAGCTTGTTCATGGTCAGTTGGATGCTACAAATATGTTTCGGGCTACTCACATTGCTGCTGAATATCGTTTTCTTGCACTTGCTCCATGCTAAGGCTAGCTGTCGCGTGAGACACACTGGTGCCGTCATCGTTGACCGAAGCCGGATCCCTAGCGATAACGTCCAAGATGACTGAGATAATCTCTTCCAGGCCGCCGCGCGCGAATTCTCTTTTCGCGGCTTTCTTCAGTAGTTCCAAAAGGTTGTCATCGGTGAGGCCTTGGAGGAGGTTTTGGCGGGCGGTGGCGAGCTGCTCGTTTCCGGAAAGCGTGAGCAAAGCCTTGAGGTAGGCGTCGATGGTCGCCATGGCGAGCAATGCTGAAGGGAGGGCGACGTAGAGTGGAAGGTGGGGGAGAGAAAGAGCGGTGTTGTTGTTGACTACGCGGCGCGGCGCAACGGCGCTAGCTGTGAAAACGCTTGGATTGGGAAAGTGCAAACGGACGAAGTGACGCACATCCGTCTAAGAGAAATTAACTCCATTGAATCAGGTAAGAAGAATCAAAACACGGTGTAAGACCGATATTCATCAACGAACTCATCGTAAGCTACGTATCCGTTCCTCCCCCACTAGCTATGCAACCTGGGGATCAAGCCCCTTGATGTCGAGCCTCTCGTATTTGACTTGATTCTCGCGGTCTGGTTGCCAAAATCCTTTATCAACGGCCGGATAGCAGCTTCATACACGCCAGCGAGGTCTTTCTGGGAAGAGACGGCGGGCCTGAGCAGCATATCTAATGCTACTCCTCTCTAAGTAGGCAGCCTGACCATAACCATGAGGGTAGAATTCGTGCCTTGAACCTCGCGCAGCACCTCTATTGCGCGTCCTCTCCCAGTAGGCGATCTGACCGGGACCATGAGGGTGGCCTCTGGGCACAAAACCCCTGGATACTGGTGGACTTCCTCCTGCGCGCGTTGGCTGTTCCTTTATAGTATCGGGGCGTTTTTGCGCTTCTCGGCCTCGTTTGGGATTGGAATTGGTGGACACAGATGCTATCATTGACGAGCCCGGGGTTTGAGCAAGCGCGCTGTCATCTACTTCAAGGCCTACATTAGTAAAGGTTACGGTAGTCTGGAGAGAATAACATGATCTTACGCTCTGATTTGATCATCACGATCCCATTTACGTCGTCTAGCTCTTCCATCTTGATCACGACCTCACACTCCCCAATGGCTTCTTCGTGCTTCACCGCGACTCCATTCCCTTCATGTACATCATGCGCAAGCTTCGAGCGCGAATCCCTTGATATGACACCCAGAATGGCTAGCGCGATTTCCTCCAATCCTTCTCTTTCGAACTCGCATTTCACGCCTTGGATGACTACACGCGACAGCTGGTTATCGCTGAGTTTCTTGAGTATGTCCTTGCGCGTATCGGTGTCTGGTTGGCTGTGAAACCGCGCGAGTACGGCTTTGAGATCGCTATCGTAGTATGACATGCTGGGTGGTAATGGAAGAAAGAGCCCTATTGTGTTGTTGTTTGCGACACAGCGCGACGCCAGCGTGTTTCCTGCGATGTGTCGTGGGTAGACAGGCAACGAATGATGACCCAGCGAAGGTATTAGTGGAAGATAATTGGCGTCATCAGCTTCCAAAGCCACCACAGCTGCGACTATGTGGAACAGCAGAAGCTGTTAGTGTTGATCTTTGTTTTGCGAAATGTTTGTCCGAACGCTGTGTAACCGCCATGCAACCACACTGGGACTAAGCGGGCGCGTGAGCACGTGACATGCACGACACAAGACTCTTGGCCAATCTTGAGAGCATTAGGGCATTGGTATTTAGCTAAAGATTTCTGATGAGAATATAGTGTTATGCCTTCAAAACGGCTTATCTTCATCACTTGAGCAGTATTGGCATCCCATGTACCGTTTCAAGCTTGACACCACATCGAGCTACCTTCCTGCTCTTCTGGTCATACGCCGCAACTGCTTTTGGGTCCTCCTTCTCTGATCTTCTAGCTACTCCATAGTCAACGCCCTCGCATACGTTAAGTTCCACCAGGCGCATCAGCTTCGATGACATAAGAAGTCGAGTCGAAGGGACTGGTCTAGTGACTCTACTAGGCTCCGATGATGAATGAGCCCATAGAACGCAGGAGTTGACCTTTTCTATCTTCTTCCGGTAGACGCAGAACGCATAGCGACCCCTTTACGAGCTTTAGACAAAGGCGTCTGCTTCGTACGCAGTCAAGGCATGCTGCCCCTCTGTATAGGTTCATATTATGGACGTGTGAAGCCTCTCCCATAACGTGATTGACGCACTCACCCCACGGAAACCAGCCCTCTCTTTGCTGGAGCCGTAATTCCAGATCCTCTAGATCTAGATGACCGTAATCTTGCATGATTTTGGCATGCAGCGTCTGAGCCCACGCAGACTTGTAGAGTATAAGTGGCTGCCAGCCGAGTTCTCCAGACGGATTCGGCGTAGATACACATACGTTGTAAAGGAATTGGTCGTCATCTTCTTCGTACATCCCAGAGGGTCGAACGATCAGGGGACTTTCTACTTGTGGTTTACGGGCTGTCTTATTCGAATGCTTGCGTTGGTCTTTATCTGTATCCGGACGGCTTTCTGCTTTTCCTTTTCGCTGCGTGCTGTCGAGCGCTAAGTCGTCTATATTCGCATCCTGCACTGGCGGTGTGTGCGAAGCTTCAACAGATCGAGTGTGGAGAGAACCTAAGATACATTAGTGCACTGATTCCAAGTTTGCAGCCCACTGAAAGACGCACTTTGTGATGTAGCGCTTGCTGAGCGTTGCTTGGCGACGTGGTCAAGAATTGCGACAGCCAGAGCCTCTCGTGATTGCTGGTCGGCACAGCTAACCGATGCTTCTTCAATGACATGGGATAACTCTTCTCCGTTGAGCTGTTGGATAAGTAACGAACGAGCATTATCGAAAGCTGGTTCGCCGGATAGAGCCAGCAGCGCACTGAAGTAGGACTTTGTCATTTCGACGTTGAGCTTTGGTGATATTGCGTGTCTGGGTTTGTTAGGGGTTAGAAGGTGTAATTAGGAGTCGCAATGGGTTTATGTAAAGTAGACTTGCAGCGAAGCTGGCGGCGCAGAGTTTTATGTGTGATTGTAATTGTGGTTCATCGCTCACGAGCCCCATGGGAAGACTGCTATAACCCGCGGTTACAAATTGCGGGTCGCCCAAGTTGAGCCCATAGCGACCTCGGCGAGTGCAACAAGTACTGGAAAGCCCACAGTATCATCCATGGGCCTTGACGGTCACGATGATCCGGCATCACAAATCTATATGATTGGGGGAGATTGCGACGGATGTGAGTATCTGGGTAGGGCTGTTCAATCAAGCCAGGAAACAGACGCTTGTGAAATCTCGGATGGTGAAGCCCATTATCAAACATCGTCGGCTATACCGTGAAGCCCTACGCTATGCTGATGCTAAAAGCAAAGAGAAAAAGTTGAAGAAGCGAGATCATGCGCATCAAGGATGGTTGCGGCGCAGGTGGACAAGGCTGGGTGGCTGTTCGGGAGATGTCGCTTAGCTCGTCCGCATTTGGGCAGGAACATGGCCAAGCATCTGGCTGCTGATACTGCCGCCAGCCCCGCTCGCATCGAGCGCTGACATACGACTTTCAAGATGTCGAAGTGTTCGCATCGACCGTTCAGACCTCTACTGGATCATAATCGAGTTGATTCGAGATCATATCGCGCGATACACGCATCCGCTGCCTGTGAATGACGTCATGCCGGACACTAGAACCGGCGATAGTGTCGCGGCCCGTCAATGTTGGGAGTGCTTCAAACGACGCCTGGTGTGCGATCGCACCCTGCCGCTATGCAGGAAATGTGCCAAGACGGGTAAGGAATGCCCAGGATATAACGACCAGAAGCCGTTGCAATGGGTGGAACCAGGGCACGTGACGATTCGTCCGAAGAAGAAGAGCAAGGAATGCCGGCCACCAACATCCGCCATCAGAACGGCAAACTCCGCGAGACTCGCACCCGCCATCCCAAATGGGCCAGTTGCGGATCCCGGGGAATCCAGAGACGCAAGTCTACCAGAGCTCCTCGGACAGGGAGGGCGCTCGGGGCTGGTCTCCGAAGAGCTTCAGCTTACCCCAGAGGCGATCGAATTGTCGAAGAGCCAACTTGCCAACTTATTGGTGGAAGAAGACAAGCCAGCATGGTGGCGCGACCTCGATATCGAGAAGCAGGTAGACCCCATTGAGCTAACAACTGCAAAGGCCGGAGCGGGCTGTGGGGTGGGCGAACGCATCATGTGCATTGGCAACAAAGACCAGATCAAGGAAGTGGTTGAAAGGGGCCAGCATTGGGAAGCCGCACTACTTCTGCAGTCGAATCAAAGGCCTCTGGCGAAGATACAGAGACTGCTGCAGATCATGGAGATGAACAGACTTCCATCGTACGATTTCTTGTCCGATGAGACACACGACGTGGTACAAGCTGTCAACTACTGTATGTACGCACACTCCAACGAGAAGCATACCTATACTAATTCCGATAGTTAACACTAGGATTTATCCGGATATCCAAGAGACGGACTGCCTAGCACCCAATCCAGCAGTGGTGCACTTCCCAGTGTGGGCTTTGCATGTACTTGCTCCGCCAATGCACTACACTACTGTCTGCCTGAGCCTCAACTACCACTTGACCTCGTTGCCTTTAGGTAAGGACCGTGCGATCGTTTCAGACCACCGACTCAAGATATACCATTACCGAGGCCTTGCTATACGCGCTCTCAACGAGAATGTCGCGAGGAAGGAAACGCGCAGTAGTGATCAGACAATCGCCAGCATTCTTATGTTTCTGGCAATGGAGGTATACTCTGAAGAATATGACACGTGCGGGTTCAAAAGGCTGATTGTTCTCTAAGGTACATAGCTCTACAGATGTCGACTGGAGGTCGCATGCAGATGGTATGAAGCGACTGATAGATATGCGTGGTGGCTTTGCATCACTACGACGCACAGTACCTCACATGACATCAGCGCTGGTGATATTCGTACTGTTGGTATAACTCGACGATTGCAACGAATGTGGCTGACACCATTTAGCATCGTAACCTTTTCGAACAGTCTTGGTCCAGCAACACATCAGATCAGTATCACTGAGCCACTCGAACAGCACATTCAGGAAGTGGAGAAAGTGTACAGCCTCATACTTCCTTACACACTGTGTCCGTCAACACTCTTCATCGAGATCATTCGCATCAACCGCCTCCGTCAAGAGCTCAGCCTCACGCCCATCGTGGAATCGCATCAGCACGCTCAAGATGCACGAAGCATTCTTTCCCGTGTCGAATCCTACGGCCCAAGAGAATGGGCGCAGTCCAGAGATCAAGAAGATGACTGGCAGCTGATCGCATCGATCTGGCAGTCTGCAATCGCACTGTACTGCATAATGTCGTTGCAAGCTGTTGAGATTCTCCCCAGCACCACAGGCATGGATATCATGCGAATGCGACACCGCGATCGCCTACTTAACGATCTGAAGGCTGCTACGCGACTAAAACAACTCAAGAAGATATCGACATTCCCACTATGTGTGCTTGGCGTGGAAGCAGGCTATCACGTCCAGCAAAGCACTCAGATCTGGATTGAACGGCACTTGGAGGATCATGCCCGCCTTCTTGGCAGTAACAGTCCTTTGAAGGCGCGAGAAGTGCTCCGACGATATTGGAGGCGGAAGAAACCTGGTTGGAATGAGTGCTTTAATGAGCCGTAAGTATCTCATCCCGGTGCCTCCAGAGTGATACACTAATGTTATTGTCTCGCAGGTTCACAACCCTTGTACCAGCGGGTGTCTGCTAATCCTCCTGACGAATCGATGCGATCTTGAAGTCTTTGCATCGGTCGACTGAAGCATGGTTTATTGACTGATTAGGCAAGCTCTCAACATAGTTCAAATCCATCTTCGATCATTGCATACTCCAGCGCTTCCCATCACCGGGATATTCTCATTCAATGGATTACCGAGACGCCGAAGTGCATCCGCACTTGTCTTGATTCGGCAGTAAAGTAGCGAGCTAAGCTGACTACATACAAGGGATTAAGGTGATAAATGCTTATGGCCAATGCCAACCCGCTGAGCCATCGCCGCCATTGCTTCTCCTAATTCGTGGATGTTTGTCTTGGCCCTTTTGACTTCCCAATAGGGTTAGCGCTTATGACGGGCGGCCTTTGTGCACCTCCAAGGCCATTCCCAAGCAGCCACACATCCAAAGATGAGCATCGACCAGGAAGAAAACTTGGCCATCTTGCAGCCCGTCTCAGTATAGTTGCGCAGCATAGGGCTCATTTCGTATACGCGAATCAAATTAGCCACGTCTGCGCTCTATATTCGTTCATGCTGGCTATTGGCGCCTGACAGTTCCCACTGCTAGTAGTGCTCATAGGTTCGATGGCATTTTGGCTTCGTGGATCACGTCTGAAAATGAAGAGGACTTGGTTCCGATGCGGCCCCCACGACTAGCACTGCGCGAAAGACGCCTCATCGTCTTCTATCACGCCTGCAAGGCTGACCAGGAAACATATCAGGATTGATGAAATGTATATATATTGCGATGAATTCTCAAGGGGACGCTGGACACCACCAATAGCTGTCGCAACCACCGGACTGAGATGTTTCCAAAAACGACTTTCTACCTAGCGTTCCACGCGTGCTTGAACATCGCTGCGACGGCGTCACAAGCATCTTCTGGATACACCAAATATCCTGAGAATGCCGAAAAGGTCGCTATCAACTGGACAGATGCGTCCACCGTTCTGGGCAGACCCGACACCTATCTCGGAAAGTTGGATGTACCCCTCGATTATACGCTGCCCCAGTCGAAGAACAACACACTCACGCTCAACATCCTAAAAGTCAAAGCGACGAAAGAGCCCAAGCTAGGCAGTGTGTTGACAAATTGGGGCGGACCGGGTTTGCCCGCAACCGACTGGCTTTTGCAACAAGCTAGTTATGTCCTTGCGTAAGTTGCTCCGTGTCATGTAAGCGCTGCAATCACAAGCTAACAACTCTTCTCGCGCAGCATGACAGGCGAGCAATACGATATTATCGGCCCCGACCCCAGAGGTACTGGCACGACGTTGCCTGTAAATTGCTACAATGACGAAATGGAACGGATGGTCGCAACATTGCGGACACCGACGAGGACCAACTCGTCCGATGTAGCGTTGGGCGCCGTCTGGTCTTACGCCAAGCAATACGCAGCACGATGTTCTCAGAACGAAGCAGTGAATGGATCATTGATGAGCACGGCTTTCGTTGCCAGAGACTTCATGAAGATTGTTGATGCTCTGACTGTGGAAGGCGAGGATGGTCTTCTCCGGTACTGGGGTGAGTCGAAGATGAGTAGCACTATATGCGGTTATTGACTAACCGACGCCAGGAATATCCTATGGCACGTATCTCGGTCAGGTGCTAGCTGCTATGTTCCCAGACAGGATCGAGCGAATGATGCTTGATGGTGTTCTCAACCCGCTCGAGTATCAGCAAGGATGGTACGTAGCTTCCTCCAGATGACTGCGAGACGGGCTAACCGAGGATCAGGGAGACCGGTCCAGCTAAATCCGCGCCAGTTGCCTTGGGACAGTTTACCGAACAGTGCATCGATGCTGGCCCCCCCTGTTCCCTCTTTCGCCCTAATCTCTCCTCCTCCGCATTGTACGAACAAATCCAAAGTCTCACCGAAAGAGCCAAGCGCGAGCCAATCGTCATGGGCCCGAACGTCACAACGGATATCGTTACGTACGAAAAGATCGCCGAAGCTAGTGACACTGCTCTGCGCATGGGTCTGGCGTCCGGTTCTTACTTGGCTGGTTATCTCAACAGCATCATGATCCGTGATACTCCAGAATACAACCACACCCAGTATCTGCTCAACCGCTCCTTCATTATGCAGGATGCAGCGATCAATGCAGACAACACGCAGCTCATCCGTTGCTCCGACGCCATGTTCCGTGCTGATGAGCTCTTCGATATTGAAGACCGTGTCCAGCACATAACGAGTTCGAGCGATTGGAACAGCGATTACATTATCGGCGCGTATGTTATGTGCTCGCTATGGAAGGTTAAGGCGAAAGAACGATACGAGGGTGACTTCAAGGCGAAGACGAAGAACCCCGTGTTGCTCATCGGTTCGCCATATGACGTCCGCACTCCGATCTCCGGGGCTTATGCGGCGAACAAGACGCTCGAAGGAAGTGTTGTGCTTCAGCACAATGGTCTCGGGGTAAGTTGAAGAGCATTTCTTGGCTTCATGGACGGGTGTAATGTATTCGGGAGAGAACATCGCTAACGGCATTGGTAGCACACGGTTATGTACAGCCCCGGGACCTGTGCCATTACCGCAACCGCTGCGTATTTCGTGAACGGGACTATGCCGGAAGAAGGGGCGGTGTGCGAGCAAGACTTTGGTATCTTCTCTGGCAAAAGTCTGAACGATACTCTCAATCTTCTTGGCGAGCCTTAGTCTTCCACAGCTTGGATTGTGAGACTTCGTGGGGGCATTGCCGAGACAATAGAGGAGGTGAAGGTTGATTCGTCGATGAAAATTGGATGGTGTGTTCGGAAGCTCATGGTGGGTGGTTGCTTCGGCATGAACGCTGGATGAACATTTCGTAGCTGCCTGTAGATCTTCCCGATGTGGCTCATGTCTACCGCGCTGCTCTTCTCTCTCGCTCTTCGATATGCATTGTGAGACGCTTGATGTGCCGCATTTGACTACTCATTGGGAGATAGAGAAGCTCGAGATACCCCATGTTCCACGTGAATATTTCTCCCCAAATTTGAAGAGGACTCCGTTGAGTCTGACATATGCGCCGAGGGAGATCGAAGTCTGGCCTGCGCGAAACTTATCGTGCAATGGAAATATGCACAGCTTGGGGCCCATGGTGTCCAGAATGACTCTGACACATAGACGCATCCGGCCATTGCAATGGTCACAAGCCCTGTCCTTGTCTCCTTCGGCTGAAGTGTACTTTGATGCGCCTGTGCCGCTGTACAGCCAGTGGCAGACGCACATTCCCCTCTGCATGAAGCGTTCTGTATCCCTCACTATTGACCGATACATTGTCGATATTTTAGGATGCGACATGTAGACTCGATTGAATATTGCGTGGATAACCCTACCGTCCCCGGGTGATAGGTCATGAAGAGGTAGCCAGGCGCCACCTCCGAAGCTGTTTGGAGCCCATACGCCTATCCTGAGTCTGTGATCTGTATCGGTTGCGGAGGCTGCGGGAAATGTAATGAAGTTCACGTCCGTCGCAGGATTTTGGTCCGCGTACAGCACCACTTGTGACGCTACTGTATTGTTTTCTTCCTCATCTTTAACAGGATCTTCTAGATCAATGACTGTCGGAAGTATCGCGGGGCGATAGTCGTATGGATGTATGACGTTATCCGCTTCCCACATGTCACTCTCGTAATCGTCCTCGTTCTTGTCATCGTTCTCGTCATCACGTAAGTCGATGGTGTCCAACGATGAGCCACCAATCGGTTCATTTTTGAATGCCTTACTAGCAGGTTCCTGTCGCTCGCTATTTGTGTCCTGAATAGCGCGCTTTCGCTTGGCCACCGAAGGGGTTGCTGCTTTTACTTGTGTCGCGTCTATCCGAGGTGCGATGGGGACAAACCCCAGAGATTCTGTGGTGATACATATCAGCCGGCGCCTCATATGTCCATAATTGCATGTTTACCAGTCTTTGGAACTGTCATTGGCTCGATATTCGGATTCTCTTTGAGAATGTTGAGCATCGCGCAGACCAATCGCTCTCGTACCTTTCGGTTGGTACATCCGGTTATCCCTTCGACGGCAACGATTTCCAGCTCTTCCCAGTTCAAGCCATCAATGAGCCTCATGCGCGCATCGGCGAACGCTTCATCACCGGACAGCTTAAGTAGCGCCTTCAGATACGAGCTCGTCATCGTGTAGATGCGCACGCGTTAGTGTTGCTGTGGTGCGAGGTGAGTAGCCGGCACCGGATGTTTGTTGATGGCACCGGGCGGCAATCCCCGGCCGAGCTAGCGACTAGCGCATCGTCTGAAGCTTGGACCGACGAACACCAAAGGTTTGCGAATGCGCTCCATGCCCGGCGTCCGTCACACACACAGTCTTGTATCTCACAGTCTCTCAGCAACGACGTCGAAGGCAAGCTCGCGCATCACTATAGAGCTTGGGCGGTTATTAGTAAGGCTAATACCTGTGGCACCCCGCTATATTGGGCAGCCGATAGCATCTTTATTGTTAACTACACGTGTAATCCACCTCTCCTGTGTCTTACCCCTCTTCAGGAGAAAAGCCCCGATCACCCTACTTGACCGCGCGATCGAAGCAAACGGCTCATAGTCTGTATCGCATTAGGCTCTTGCCATATCTCGTTTTATGACTAAAGTAGACTTCAGCATACTAGTTCAGTCTCTTTCTTGCCGCCTGCCTGCTTCGTTATTATCCTCCCATAACCCACGCAGCGATGGAATCCAGCGCCCTGCTTTCACGGTACGCTTCGGGTAGCGGCATAACACAGAGCTTTACGCTTGAGTCGATCACTCCGATCTGTACGCACAGGCGTTTCGTGCGAATACAAGTATCGCAAGCCCTCCGAAAGTTACCACGAGCCTTCTCAAAAGTGGATCGGCCACAACCCTCCTGCCTGACGAGTATGTTGACGCATTTGCCCTCGGAAAGATGATGCCCCACGTTGTGTGTCATGCGCCCGTAAGCCATCCTCTTGGATTCATCAACGGCGAAGTCTATCATGAACCTCGCGTAAATGATGTCTCCGGCCTCACCATCGAGATTGCTGAGAGGCTGCCAATCCTCAGGCCCAGTAGCACGCGATGCCAATGTTCCGATCTCGAAGATGGGTATACCGCCGGGAGTGGAGGGTATATCGATCACGTCAACGTCGGTTTTGTGGAACACACTGTGCATGGGCTGCTGGAGATCTGTGAGGCCTCTAGTCAGTGATTGCCCATTTCTCCGCTCTGGAGCTCTTACTGTTGTTGCTGACCGGCCACTTCAAAGTTGCTTTCTGTCCTGCACTGATCAGATCAAGCATGTTGACACTCAAGATCTCTCGTGCTTTGCGAGTGTTGCAGCGATAACCCTGTTTGACCAAAGCACTGAGCTCTTCATCGCTAAGAGCTTGGATGATCTTCAGGCGCGCATCAGCGAACGCGCTGTTGTTGGAGAGGGCGAGCAGATGCTCGAGGTGAGACATCGCCATCTTGGAGATGATCGGGAGCGATTATCGAATGGCAGCGTGGGTCGCAGTGAGTGGGAGTACGGGAGAAGTTTTGGTTTGTCTACTTAGAGGCAGAATTATACGCTAACGCCGCGAACGGCAATATGTCAGAGCAAACGGACGCATGCAGGCCCTCGAAGCGTCACACATCGCCATCACCAGCGCATGAAAGCATTTGATCGCATTATCGCATACGCTTTATGATGCTTCAATTTATACCTCCGGCCGATCGACGGCGTACAATACCGACTCTTGCATTCAAGTGCTATACTACCACCCCAGATTTGGCTGCGCGACGAAATCATACACAAACACTTGCTCGAGCAGCGGGTCCGTCTCATTCTTCCGCGAGGTCAGCTTCAACTCCTTCACAACGAGAGAGACGTCACATACCTTCAGCTTATCGTGCGTCGGATCTTTATCGAACACCTGTCTCGAGGCTTCATCCTACTCATGGTCAGCACTCGTGATGCGGTCGCGTCACCTGCCATTCCATACCTTGAAGACTACAACGAATCCCAAGTCCCACACACTCTCCCTCTTCACGTTGGTCAGGTTCAATGGGGTATTCAGCGGTCTTCCTCCTTTTGGCCCTTCGACCAGTAATTCCGGATGTTCAGCGTAAAGCGCGAGAAAGGCAGATGCGCGATCGCCTTTTTGCTCCGCGGTGACGTTAGGGTGGAAGCGGAATGTTGCTATGCGCGTCACTGGTGATGTATCGGTGGAGTTGGGCGTTGATGTGGACATTGTGAAGGAAGAAGCAAGGCTAAAGAGGGCGACGAAGGCCGTGAGGAGGCGGGAGTGGAGTTGCATTGTGCTGAGATAAAAGCGGCGGGGTATGCGCTTTAAGCAATGTAAGACGGAACAATGCTGTGCGACTTCAATCAGGGCGTAACACCATAGTCGAGGAAAGCCGTTGTGCATGCAGTCGGTCGCGATACTGACCGCGTATTGGTGCGCTAAACTTTAATCTGACCTGCATGCGGAGGTGGGGATACGCGGGCGGAGAGCCGAAGTCACCACATTACATTTGCATCGACGTAAGCTGCCTGGCTTTTGAAGCTTTATTATGATATCACTTTTGAATACAAATATGACATTACCAACAAGACATGTTTGTACCGAACGCAGTAACACAGGGAATAATAAAGAAATGGAGGAGACTAGAGTATACAGCTGGCCAGCCATCGCGAAGAACATAACATCTAAACATCGCGCCAGATTCAGAAGAGAGATGAAAGAACTGTAGGGCAAGCCTTCTAGACTCGCGCTCAGTGCGACAACGATGAGAGTCCTGTGAAATTCCAGTCGACTCAAGATCGCTCGACCGTAGGGGTCGGTGAGGGGGTAGCAAATGAGCCAAGCCACTTTTGTGGCCTCGATCTCATCGCAGCTGGGTGATGGAAGCACTTTTGTCTTCCAAATATCTCCAGCTAGTATCCACCAAATATCTTGGTAGTGGATGGCCGATGAGTCGTCAAGACCTTTGGCCTTGCGCTCATCTCGACCGGTGGTTCAAGCCTCTATGGGTCTTTCACTCATCTCGGTCGTCAGCTGTCAAGTCTCTCTGGACGGATTCAGCTGAGCCAATGCAGTAGGTATGATCCCGATGGGCGGGCCTCTCTGGACGCGGCGATGGGGTAGTAGAGGTGAGCTCTTTGAGCTTGCACCTTGCCGGCTTGGTGGTGAGGTCTCTCTGAACTTTTGACCACGTTGAATGACGGCCGTCGATGTTCTCTGACATGATCGGCCGGAGTGGATGTCGGGATAGCTTGCATGGAAGCGCGCCTTGGGCGCGGTCATCGACGTGGAAAGCTCTTTTGGCTGTCGGTCGGAAAATAGGTCGTCCTGACCCAGTGAAGATATGGTGAGCGATGGAAGCCTCTTGGACTTCAATGCATGTGAGTGATTGGTTGTTGGACTCGCGGTGTAGGTATGTTGACCACCGCTGGTCTGGTGTATTCCTTGGGAGATCTGCCCAGCGACTGGTGAAGATAGCCTGGACGATGGCGCTCTCTAAATCGGGCGACGACGAAGAACCGAGGCACGGCGCTGGGCGCTACTGCGCTTTTGATCCTTTGCGTCTTCATTGTGGCGAGCCTCGCGCTGTTTCGCAACCACTTCCTTGGTCACGAACTTCTTGTTGCGACCTTGGCGCTCAACTTGCTCCACTTCGTCTGCGAGGCTGGCGCTGCGACGACGCTTGACACCAACAGAGGAGGCGGAAGATGGCGTAGGAGACGGAGCTGGAGAAGCTGACGGGGCGGAAGCTGACGGGGCTGACGAGCCGGCAGCGGTCGTCTTAGCCTGCGATAGTCGAGCAGAGCGACGCGGATTGATCTCGACTCGTCCGGACGTCTGTGAAGTCGCTGAACCAGGAGGGCTCAGGAAGGATTGACTGCCGAAGCGGCTGCGGGAGAAAGAGTTCGAGAAACCTTGGGTCTGGCTAAAAGGGCTCTGCGACCGGCCCAGAGTATGCTGCGACTCACCAAAGTACGTAGTGTCAGGCGTTTCCTGAAACTCACTCTTAACGCCTGAAATCGAGGACTGGAAGCCCGAAGAGTTGGAAGAGCCGACGGAGCTCTGGAAGCCGGACGTGTCGTCTTCAACCTTGATGGCGGGTGCAGGGGATGGTGCTTGCTTGACAACAGGGCGAGTCTTCTTGATAGCGCCGAGGTTGTCAGAAGTAAAGGAGACGGCCTCAGGATCCGTCTCTTCGAACTCGTCGAGAGTGCGCGCGCTCGTGTTCGTGGTCTTTTCGGATTTGATGGCGGGCGCAGGCGCAGGCTTGGGATTGACGGTGCGATGAACCTGATGATGGCGCTGGACGTCGCTGCCAACGCTAGCTTCTACCTTGACGAGGTCGTCCTTTGTGACAGCGAGGGGTGCGCGCTCGGCAAGCTCTTCTGTCGCGACATCGTGGTAGTGGTCGGCGCGCCCTCGATTCAATGAGGTCGGCTCCATGGTGTTGGTCGATCTGATCTTAGTCTCAACGGGTCGATCGATCTCGACCTTGACGGGGGGCTCTTTGGCGAACTTGACGGAGTTCTGGATCTCGGTCTGGACAGACTGCTCCTTTTCGACCTTGACTGGCGTCTTCGGAGATGCGGCTGACTTCTCTTTAAGAGGCCAGCCCTGAAGCAGCGAGTTCACGCTGACGGGCATCGGCGGTTGCAACATGGATGGCGAGACTGGTTCGTTCCACGGAACGTCCATGAAAGACTCGTTGATGTTGCGAGGCTTGCCGAACCGCGAGAAGGTGTCGGGGTTCGATCGATGAAGCGTCTTCGCGGGTGATTCCGAAGTCGCGACCTGGTCCCTGAGCTGAGCCCTCCTGTCGCGGAGGCGAGCACTGTTGTCGAGATCCGCTTGGAGGTTGGGACGTTTGGGGTCGAAAGGGATGGAGTACGCCTCGAGCTTGTCGTTGAGGTATCGGGTGAGCTCTTGGGAACAGCCGGGGGAGAGCTTGACGCCATGCTTCTCGAGAATGTCCTTGATGTCATGCGAGAGATGATGAGGACTCTGCTTGAGCAAGAAAGCTCCTGTGCGACAAGTCAGTACACGGAAAGACGCACAGAGGCGCGAGCGCGGAGGCGCTTACCGGTGACGGGGCGCATCTTGGGCGCGGCCTGCTGGTTGTTGGGAGGAGTGGAAGACATCGTTAGAGTGGATTTGAAAGAGTGTGAAGTATTTGAGTATTGACGACGAGTAGTGGTTGGAAGTGGACTTTAGAATGCGAGCGGCTGTGATAATGCGCAGAGTGCAGGTAGCGGGTGGTATATAAAGACTGATGGTCTGAGCTGTCGCGTTGTTTTGTCAAGGGCGGGGTACCGCGGTCTTATATCGAATTGGTGTTGTGATTGCCTAGACGCAGGTATTCACTATGTGGTCCTGGGTCGCAAGCACAATGTCAAGCGCGATTTCGGCGCAGGCGACACCGAAAGCAATGAATGTGTCGCAATTCTAGTCCAAATCGCGTATTCGAACAATTCATTGCGAGAACGTTCTCGTTATCGGCGCATGGCGGGACAGCCCTGGAGCTAAGTGACGACGCGCGCGTCACGTGCTGTGTCATTCACTTCCATGCTACCGTGTTTGGTGCTCAAACTCCCAACCAACGTAGCAAACCCGCCGCAATGCTTTTGCATCTACATAATGCACCTACAGAGAGATTATCGCAGTCCATCGTGCTATTGGCGCATCTTCCGTATACTAACCTACCACAGCCTCGTATATTCAAAGCCTGTACCAGCTTTTTAGTCACGTATCCATGGTTCTGCGATCAGAACGAAAAAATGTGAAGTCATTTTCGCGATGCGCATTCTGCTCGTTCGCCCGCCAGCTCTCCTCTCCGTCTTCTCGCAGGGTCGCCATCACCGTAAGGCAGTGACGTTGGCGCAGGCGTTCGCACTTCCCTATTCCGATTGAATTGTGTGTGGAAGTTCTCGCATTCACCACATACGGCAACCACCACCACCTCGTCCACCACGATACGAAGTGCAGTCACCCACCTCCTCTGTACACTCCACGCACCATCTTCGCGTTCCGCTGGTACATTATCGCGCAACTGTCATCAGCAACCTCATAGTAATATTACACCACTTAGAGTAGTCACAGCACTCATTGTATACCTCAACATCCAAGATGGTCGACAAGATCGGGCGCCCTCGCAAGGCTGTAGGCAGCAACGACCCTTCCGGAAAGGGCGATAGCGCTCCGAGAGGCCGCCAACAACGCGAGGCCTCCTCACATACATCACAATACTACAGCGCTCACGACGGATTTGAAGATGCGCCCATGCTATCAGCACTAAGCGCTTCACAACAGCGCGATTTTGAAGAGGCGCAAGCGGAGCCAGAGCCACGAGCTCGTCCGGCCAACATCCGCACCAGCACCGCCACTGAGTCGCAAATCGGTGCCGACGAAGACGAAACCCCCTTCCAGTCAGCATCCGCTTCTTCGTCCTCTTCATCAAGCTGGGAAGACCTCCCATCGCCCCAAACCACTTCCCTTCCGACCGCCACACCCTTTCCCGGCACCTGGCCTGCCGCCCTCCACGACACCAGCGCCGCGCTGTCCGAGGTCTCCACTGCGACCCTCTCCTTCGCCAGCGCCATCGCATCCTCGGGCTTAGGCCGCGCATCGTGGAGTATCGGCGCAGCAACTCTTTCCTCCACCAACCGCGCGGCCCTATCTTTCACCGCCTGGGGCATGGAGAAGACAGGAGTCATGCCGAATGAGCTTCCTCGGCCGATGCGGAGGTGGATCCAAGGGAAGGAAGACAGGGACCGAAGGAGAAGACAGGCTGAGCAGAGAAGGAGAGAGAGGAGAAGAAGGGAACGAGATGGACAGGTGCTCACTGGAGGAGTGGATGAGGAAGGTGGTTATGTGCTAGCGACGCATGAGATGGATGGCACGCTGAACTTCGAGGGTAGGGGGCCTGTGGATATGCGCGAAGAAATTGGTGAACAGGAAGGAGAGGAGGGATTCGCGGCGGGAGGACCAGAAGAGATCGAGGAGCGGGGGACCGAACATGGAGACGATGGTCTTATGCGAGTGTTTGAGTTTGATGAGGATGAAGACTTGTAAGAGAAGGTGGTAGATAGACGAAGAAGCATGCAATGTAAATGTAACCATGACACTATATAATGAAGCCTGCTGACACTGCGTCATGCGCCTAGAACGAGATCGCTCGTACAAGACCCCATGTCACCTATTCTGTCCCCCATCCCAACTATGCCACAGATCTACAAATTAACAAATTTCGCAGCATTGCACTGCGTGTCACTCGCAATCGGCTTCCCATTCAACGCAATCTTGAGATGTCCCTCCCAAGTACCCCCATGGTCCATCTTAAAGCAAGCAGCATCATACCCATTCTCCTGCATCCACTTCAACTCCCTCTCAACCGCATTCCTAATCGTCTTCGACTCAGACGTCGTGTCGCACTTCGGGCCCGAAGTGGTCGCGTAGTACTGCCACACGGCGCCGTCGACGTTACCGGAGATCACGGAGCAGCTGTTGACGTCGGATTGGCCTTTGATGTAGACGGCGAGGTAGTTGGCGATGGAGACGATGGCGAGGGTGGCGGTTGCGCCTTGGCTGACGAAGCCGGCGGCGACTTCGATGTCGGTGCGGGGGGAGAGGGGGGAGGCGATGTCTCTGGTGTCGAGAAGGGCGTAGCTGGAGCTTTTGTGTTAGAGGTTTGCAATGATGATGTGTGTGAATGGGTGAGTGAGGACGTACTCTTTCCCGGGGGCACCGATAGCGAGAGACTCTGCAGCGCCGAGGAGGCAGAAGATGTGGGCGAGCTGGAAACGCATCGTGAATGAGTGATGTATAGCAAAAGGGGTATTTCGGTTGTGTATTGTGACTTGAGAGGAATCGTTGTGGTGGGATGATAACCTCTATCTCGACGCATCGATTACTTATATACATCTTCAAATGAACACAACCTACATCACGCCTGCGCTCTACCTCCCATCTTCGTCAACATCCAAGTCCCGCGACAACCTTTTCTGCCTCGTCGGCCTGAGCTTCATGAGGCCTCCAAATACACTGCCCGCCTTGATCACAAAATGAGAGACCAATTTCGATGAACGGCGACGTGAATCCATGCCGCAACGCTGTGCCAAAGGACCGACATAGATAATCGCGGGGTGCCTGATGTACAAAACATAGACACGATCGAGTTTCGCAGTCGAAATAAGCCCGCCCTACGAAAGCTTATGCCGATCTTGATCTGTCTTGGTTTCAAGATCCGGAGAGTCGGTCGGCGCAAACGTAGGGTTGTTTTACGGACCGATCCGGTACGCCTTAGGTACACAGCCTTCGTGCGGCTATGCGCGACGACTAAACATGGGGCGCCTGAGCGATACTGACGCGAATAGTCTACTAAAAGCGGCTATTTTTGAGCGCGGGAGCTTTGCGGGGGCTGAGATTACTGAAACACCGAAGAAAGATGGGGTTCAACGTCTCTAATCGGACCGCTGCACAGGCTAACGAGGGAACGCCTAAGAGACGGCGAAGTGCAACACCATGATTGATATTGTATAGACGCTGATCCAAGAGGGGCGCCTTACACATACAGGGCTGTACGGCGGTTTCCACGGGATGCGATGAAGACAGCATCGGTCTACCTGCTTGCCAATCAAGCATCTTGCCTCTATCCAGTACACTTCGGTCGTATCGCGAGGCTTTTCTCTCCAGACCCGTTGACATCAGGCGTGCAAGCACTTGATCATCATGGCTCAAGGCGTGCAGCAAGTCAATCTGTGCTCGACTCTTGACAACTTATCAGTCGGAACGGTTCATCGTGAGAGTGTATATATATCGGGCAAGACACACAGTTCTACCGCATCATCCTCACCACTCAACCATAACTACTTTACCGTGCTTTCATCTCTTACAATACAACATCCCCAATCCACTACCCATCATGCGTTTCTCAACCATCGCCGCAACCGCCCTCTGTCTCGGCTACAACGCCATGGCCCTCTCCCTCCCTGAGCGGGAGGCTCTGCCATCATTGAGCGAGGAGACACAGTCTAGGTACGTACGACGCAAAAGTCTCTTTCCACACCATTCCTCCAATCTCCTGCTAACACCTCACTCCAGCGACGACCTCGCCAAACGCCTCACCATCGAAGAGCAGATCGCCATTCTGGGCGCAGGCTCCATGGTCGCACTCAACGTGAATGCGATTGCGACCTACGTTTCCAACCTCATGAAGGCGCAAAGCGAGGCCAATACTTGTGGTGTTATCTCCGGTGCTGTTGACGGGTACGTTCCCTCTCCCCCCTTACCACCTCACCATCCAACAAACCCCCTATTCCTCCCCAATGATAACCAGCCACTAACCCCTCCCCCTCCAGCGTAAACTACCAATACCACGCGGCAACAACCGGAAAAAACTGCGACACAACCGCCGAAGTCAAAACCATGAAAGACGCCGTGACGCGCGGCCTAGAATTCATGACGACGCACAACATCAACCAGGCATGCTTCAACATGCAGCATGGCGGGACGTGGAGGGGACTGCTGCAGCTGGCGAGTGGGGATCGGCAGATTGTTAATGGCAAGTGTGATAGTGTTACTTATACGCTTACTGTGTAGGGGTGGACGTGGATGGATGGGGGATGGGGACGGGATGGGAAAGGGGGAAGGGGTGGGATGGATGTGTAGAGGAATGGATTTGATGGTACTTGCTACTCTTTTCGCGCGGTTTGTTGATGTCTGAGTTTACCACTCTTAACTAATGGTCTTTTGCCCTTACTCTTTCTCTATTCTTCATGACCTCGATCCAACAGTAAGGAGTGTACCGTGCCGTAATCAATGAAATGCCATTTTTCCTGCTCAGTCTGACATCCATCACCCATTGCCTGTTTTCTTTCCAGGCTTCCGAAGTAAGATGCGTCTCCATGTAACAAAGCTTTGATCAGTACCGTACGACATGTCGGAGAACGGGCTGCCTGATAATCCATGGTATTGCCTATATACAAACATCTTCTTCCACAACCATCTCTACAACTTCGCAAAAACAGTCGGCACAGCCCCGCCCATCTCAACAAGCGTACTCTTATTCCTCACCCAAGCCTCAAGACCCTTCTTACCATTCTCCACACCAACACCACTCTGCTTCCAGCCACCGACGCTCATCTCAGCCGGACTCTCACCCCAAGTGTTCACCCATGTGATACCCGCTTCAAGCTGGGCAATAACCTTGTGCGCTAGGTTGAGGTCCTTGGTAAACACACCCGCCGCAAGACCGACATCGGTGTTATTGGCGCGTTGGACAACTTCCTCGATGGTCTTGTATGTGAGGATGGACATGACGGGGCCGAAGATTTCTTCGCGGACGATCTTCATGTCGTCGGTGCAATTTGTGAAGACGGTGGGCTGGACCCAGTAGCCGTTTTGGTATGACCTGTCGCTGTGTGACGCAACCCATGATGGGGTTTCGGGGCCTCCGCAGAGCATCCTTGCCTTGTCGTTGTCGCGGCCGTGCTTGATGTACTGTATGACCTTCTCGTAGTGCGGCTTCGATACCAGCGGGCCGAAGTTGGTGGCCATGTCGTGGAGGTTGCCTGGGCGGATGTATTGCATCTTCTCCAGTAACCGCTTCTCGAAATCTGACTTCATTGCTTCCGGGATGAAGACTCGTGTGCCGTTGGTGCAGACCTGTCCTGTTGAGAAGAAGTTGGCTAGCATTGCGCCGTCAACTGCCTGATCCACGTCCGCGTCTGGCAGGATGACGCATGCCGACTTGCCGCCCAGCTCCATTGTCACGTACTTCATCTCGCCGGATGCGCTACCTGCGACCTTCTTGCCTGTCGAGACCTGTCCGGTGAAGCTGACCTTAGCGATGCCGGAGTGCTTGGTGAGGTATGCGCCGACTTCACCGCCGCCCTGGACGACGTTGAAGACACCCGGCGGTACACCAGCTTCAGCGTAGATGTCCGCTAGCACTGTGGAGTGCAATGGTGTGAACTCTGAAGGTTTGTATACCATGCAGTTGCCGGCTGCCAGGCATGGCGCAGACTTCCACAGCGCGATCTGAATGGGGTAGTTCCATGCGCCAATACCCGCACATACGCCCAGCGAGTTCTTAGTCGTGTACATCCACGCGTCTGGTCGCAGCTGTGCCGTCTCGCCGTTCATGCCGCCTCCGCCTACGAGATTCGCAAAGTATTCGAGGACATCGGCGCCGGTGACTACATCGACCGTCGAGGTCTCGGAGAAGGGCTTGCCCGTGTCGCTGGTCTCGATGCGGGCGAGTTCGTCATTGCGTGCGCGGAGCAGGGCAGCCGCTCGTTGAAGAATGCGCGCGCGCTCGATGGGAGGTGTCGCGGACCATGCGGGGAACGCCCGTTGCGCCGAGGCTATCGCAGCGTCTATGCCAGCGTTGGAGGTTGTGTGGATGTTTGCGACGGGTTGGGCGGTCGCGGGGTCAATGGTCTGGAAGGTGGAAGTGGTTGAGCCAGATTGAAGTTTCCCGTCGTAGTAGGCGGATCTAGGCGCATATGGGAGAGACATGGTGAGTGGCTTGCTGGCGCAGTGGGAAAGCCTGAGGTTGCTTCTGGTGTTGACGCGGAGTCGCAAGAGTTTGGTCGCCACGATGGTCACGATGAGCGAAATGTACCGGGAGAATCTTTATGCACAGTTTGATCTGCGCGTGTCAGCCAAGTGGTCAAGATTGGCGCGGTGATGTAACGTGAACGAACATTTGATGGGCGATAGCGGCGGGGAGCTTGGATGCAGCTGTTGCGCCTCTACTTCCTTTCACGATCAGTAATCCTTCGGAACGTCGCCGAGGGTACGTCAGCTGAGAGATATGCAAGGGGTGCGAGCAAGATAGAGAAAGCAGCAGCGCTCGCTTTTCAGCGGGATGGCGTCGTTTCCTGTCGCTGCTGCTGTATGGCACAAAAACGTCGCTCCGATGGCTGCCGCCCTCACCGCCCAGAGATCGGGGAAGGTGCGGCATCGACCGACAGGGATTGCCAGCTCGGAAGCTGCAGCCCAGCGGGGTCGCGCTAGGCCCAACGCGCCCATCACATCATCGGACGCTTTTACGACGTCTTTTTTTCTTTCACTGGCAACCACGGTTGTCATAACCACGTCGTCACCAACACCATTATAGTCGTCGTTGGACGCAATTGATCAATCACACTTACCACCTGCTGACAGCGTGTGAGTTTTCACTACTTCGGCCCATCGCCTCTCCTTCCTCGCACCCGTCGCAACATCGCCATCCTGAGGCGTTGGCTGAGCACGTGCACGCGTCCGGTCCAACCGTAAACGGCCCTATTTAGCACAGTCTTATCTGGAAGGCGAACGACACATCTTGCAGCGGCGCACGACTCTCCATTCCCCAGCCTCATCGCCAGCTCAGCTCACTTTTGCTGCTCCGACCTTCTGCCGACCGCCCGATCGCGACGCCCGGCCCATCTAGACAACGTCGTCTCCTTCGAGCGATAGTCCGCGTGGATATATAAGCTTGCTCCTGACGTGAAAAGCTCTCTTTAGCAGAAGTATATTCTCGCCATCACCCCAAGCCCACCACCCACACGCAACAATGGCTTTCGAGACCGTGACCTCCATCCCCAAGGATGCCGAGTATGACTTCGTCATTGTCGGAGGAGGCACAGCTGGCTGTGTCATCGCCTCGCGACTCACCGAATATCTCCCCAACAAGAAGGTCCTCTTGATTGAGGCCGGCCCAAGCGACTTCATGGACGACCGTGTGCTGCTGCTCAAGGACTGGCTCAACCTTCTCGGAGGAGAGCTCGACTACGACTACGGCACCACCGAACAGCCCAACGGCAACTCCCACATCCGACACTCACGTGCAAAGGTCCTCGGTGGCTGCTCATCACACAACACCCTCATCTCCTTCAGGCCGTTTGAGTACGACTGCAAGCGATGGGAAGCCCAGGGCTGCAAGGGCTGGAGCTTCAAGACCTTCATGCGCGTGCTTGACAACCTGCGCAACACCGTCCAGCCTGTCCACGAGAAGCACCGCAACCAGCTCTGCCTCGACTGGATCGACTCGTGCTCAACCGCCATGGACATTCCGGTGATCCACGACTTCAACCACGAAATCAAGACCAAGGGCGCTCTCAAGCCTTCCGTCGGTTTCTTCTCCGTATCATACAACCCCGACGATGGCCGCCGGAGCAGCGCTAGTGTCGCCTACATCCACCCCATCCTCCGCGGCGAGGAGAAGCGCGACAACCTGACTGTTCTCACCAACGCGTGGGTCAGCAAGGTTAACGTCAAGGGCGACAAGGTCACCGGTATTGACCTCGCGCTCCAAAGCGGCGAGAAGTTCACCCTCAACCCCAAGTGCGAGACCATCCTCTGCGCAGGCGCCGTCGACACCCCGCGACTGATGCTCCTCTCCGGTCTTGGTCCCAAGCAGCAACTCTCCGACCTTGGCATCCCTGTCGTAAAAGACATCCCCGGTGTTGGCGAGAACCTGCTGGACCACCCCGAGAGCATCATCCTCTGGGAGCTCAACAAGCCCGTACCCGCGAACCAGACCACCATGGACTCAGACGCTGGTATCTTCCTGCGCCGCGAGATCCCCAACGCAGCGGGTGGTGATGGCGACATTGCCGACATCATGGCTCATTGCTACCAAATCCCATTCTGCCTGAACACCGCTCGGTAAGCCCAACAACCCCACATTTCCGCGCTGCAACTAACATGATCACCAGCATGGGTTACGACTCCCCCATCGACGCATTCTGCATGACGCCCAACATTCCCCGTCCCCGCTCCCGCGGCCGCATCTACCTCACCTCCGCCGACCCCACCGTTAAGCCCGCGCTCGACTTCCGCTACTTCACCGACCCCGAAGGCTACGACGCAGCCACCATCGTCGCTGGTCTCAAGGCTGCCCGCGAGATCGCCAAGCAAGCGCCTTTCTCCAACTGGATCAAGCGTGAAGTCGCGCCTGGCCCGAAGGTCGTCACCGACGAGGAGCTTTCCGAGTACGGTCGCCGCGTCGCACACACTGTATACCACCCCGCTGGCACAACCAAGATGGGTGACGTAACAAAGGACGAGATGGCCGTTGTGGACCCCGAGCTGAAGATTCGCGGTCTCAAGAGCGTCAGGATTGCGGACGCGGGATGTTTCCCCGAGATGCCCACCATCAACCCCATGTTGACTGTGCTGGGTATCGGTGAGCGCGCCGCGGAGTTGATTGCACAAGAGTGGGGCTGGAAGGGTCTCCAGAAGGAGAGGTTGTAAACGCGCATTTCAAGAGAAATGTGCTTGGTGGGTAGATAGGTGTTGGTAAGATGGTAAGATAGATGTGAGTTGATAACATAATGAGTGACGACTGTGTACGGTCACCCCAATGCGACAATACCCTTTGCAACAATTCTATTTTCTTGGCATCTTGAGTGAACCGAGTGAGTATTGCTGTGGTGCTTGCTTTTGTAGTCTTGTGACTCATCGGGAAGCCATCTTGCGAACAGAAACGAATCAAAGCTTGCATACTGCATGCGAATGTGCATTGATGAAGGTGAACAGTCCCGTGTTAGTTCACCACGGCGGACAAGCTCGGATTGAACTTAATGTGATGGCGCGAGAGGGTCTAGTCAGTCGAACCAACGGTAATGATTGGTATAGGATAGCGCGCTGATGTACGCTCAGCTTGACTTGCTTAGTGTGTACTACATAGTGAACATGGTAGAACCTAGCTCCATCTGCGCGACGCTCTTTGTTCATCTAAGGCTAAGACACATCACCCATAAAATGTGTGAGTATGACAGCCCACTACGCTGGAAGGCGCTTTGCTTTTGGCTTGTGTTCGCTATTCGCATCTATTCAGGTATCATGTGCTACAACTGATATGGGTTACCTAGGTAGCTTACCACTACGTTCTTCGAGCTACGTGCTTCGTACCACTGGGTAAAGACGTATAAAGCTTCCTTGTCCACCAACGGAGATGCATCAAACCTTGTCTTCCATCATCACCTATCTCTCCCCACGAAATCACACCTGCGATCATGGCGAAAACAAACCTAAACCGCCGCTTTCTCATCGAACTCAACGGCCAATTCGTCAGTACCTTGTCTGATACCGAGACCGCCAATCTCGCCGCCAATCGTGAGGAAAAGTACCCCGTTAACATGGGAGACCGCGAGCAAGCTGCGGTCTTCACGCTGCAGAATGGACTGTTGCTTTGTAACAACGACGTGTCTTTACTCGTTCTGGGCCGGTGGATAGACGAGGAATCAAGCACGCTTGAGCCTCTGCCTATGTACTGGGCGAGCCAATTCGATAAGGTGCAGTCGGTTCAGTACACGGGGGAGGGTGAGGATGTTCAGCTTGAGTCTTTTGGTATGTTGGTTGCGCTGACTGGGCGGCTTCGGGCGATATAATGGGATGGCTTTTACGTTTTAGCTGACTTTGGTGTAGACTTTCCGCTCGGTGCGCTTCTTGACGATGATGGGACGACGCGGTTGTATGCGTGTCATCCAACTATGGATATTGGTAAGCAGCGGATCCCTTGGAGATGCTGCTTCATGGCTCTCGACTAACTATGTCAGGACCTGGGACCAAGTTGCATTGGCTGGAGACGAAGGAGTAGTGGCTGCGAGAAGATATCGTCACGTTGGTCTTTTAGCAGAAGATGTGGCATCGAGAGTGTTGTTGGCAGTACAGACAGGACGTGGTTCGTCGTCCATTGATAGTCTGCTGAGTCTGGAGCGGCCGGCTTGCGCAGAGAACAGTCCCACCGTTTGCGTAGTCTCCTTATTATGTGTCCATCCTCTGAATCTCTTAGCTTCACTGCTCTCGAATTTTGCAGGGTGTCGGCGCCATCGTGTGACTTCCGAAGATCTAGTGTCACCGGCGTCTGAACCTGTTCGTCCGATCCTATCATCTTCATAATGCTAGATCGCGGCACCTCGTCGATACCCCCATCCTCAACGCGCAGCATCAGCCGCCAGTTCAACGCGGTCCAACCCGAGCATATGCGCAGACATGCTTCTCATGGCTTTAGGCCGTTGCGACGTTGACAGCCAATTGCCACCGATCAACTCCACGTCAAGGATGCACGACATGCATTCGCACTTGCACACAACAGCCGCTAGTGGTTCCTAGATATCACACCTCGCCATGGGCGTGTCCACGACCTAACGATATTATCTCGTAACTACAGAGACTTTGTTTTGTGTCGGTGTTCCTTCGCGGCGTCGAAACAGTGCTAGCCCAAGAGGAACGTAGTTTCAACACCATCCTTCAGCCAGTATCGACCGTCTCCATGGCTGCAGAATTCCTCGTCGAGGATAGGAATCTTGGCTCTTTTGCCTTGCTTATCTAGAGCGTGCATAGTCGCGGGTAGTAAATATGGGTCCTGCGAGAAGTCGTCATCTCCCGGTTCTCCGGGATCATGTCTTATATATTCGATAATGTCCCACGCAAAATAGCCGATGCGTTCGTAATGGTTGTCGTGCTGTCGCAATACAAGGATCTGACTTTCTTCCTCGAATCTCGTACTGTCTCCTTGCCCACGTTGCGTATCTGGTCTTCGAACGATTACTGCGCAAGGCAGATAGATCCCTCCCTTGTCAGATCTGCACACAGGCTCTTCTTCCGTGTCCCAGAAGGCGAAAAGAAACACATCGAGAGCTTCACCATATGGGATCTTAGCATGAAGTCCCTCTCGGGGATACATAGCCTTCCCCCTCAAGCTCACAAACTCTACAGTTACTATCTTAGTCGTTACCCTAAGAAATCTCGACTGCTCCGCGCCTAGCAAGTGATGTTGTTGCGAGAGCTTTCCAAAGCCTTGCTCAAGTGGCTTATATTCACCATTGCACCACACTTCGACGGTACATTCTTTTGAAATGCAAGGATCTTTCCGAAACGGGTAATCGACCCAATACAGGTAATCGACTGGGCCATGCCAGCCAATAGGTAACCAGCTGGGGAATTGCTTGCGTCGAGAGACCGGTGACGAATGTCGCCAATGAAGGAACATGTACAAGTTTGGGTGATATCAAACAACAAATACGCCCCAGATGTGGTCATCTAACTCTTCTAATTCGAGCGCGCCAATAATAGCTTTCAGCGCGTCATAGCTATACGTAAGTCGGCGTCGTGTGTATTCGTGCATCATCTGTTCCTTAAAGTCGAAAAGGGGTGCTTTGACTAGGCTGCGTAGCGTTTCAGCGAGTCCGATAGCAGCCTCACTCCCGCGGTCATTGTCACAGATGTAATCCACTCCAACATCTGTGAAATACATCCGTCTCCTCGATAGATAGCCTTCTTGGAATGTCCATCCTCTACTATACCAATTAGATAATTTGATCGATACAAGCCTTGTCCATCGAGTATGCACGAGGCGTATTCGATCGGTTACCGCGCATGAACTCGGCGTTCTGAAGTCGTCCGTGATACCGGGGAGCCCGTACGTAGCATCTGAATACGATTCCTCTAGACCTGCCGCTGCAACGATGGTCACTTGAGATGAGGAATAGATGGTACCCATTTGGTTAATCTGATGCTGCTGGGCTATAGCATCAATCTGATCGACGCACTGCACGATTAGTTATTGATCTGAACGGCTTTGTAAGTAAGCATACATATCTGTCAATCCACAGGTATCGATAACCTAACATGATTGTAGCTTTGATACTATCCTCCACAGTGCGAGGGAGTATGTCTGGTATTCGCGGAAAATCCGGGGCGTCTTCCAGTCCTGCCTTTCCCCAGACATATGATAGCGCAACGTATTCGCAGTGTTCTGGTGCCGAGACAACAGTTCTATCGTGACAGTCGAGCACCTTCAGATCGTGCAGGGCTGAGCCTAACGGAGGCTTGCACTCCTCGTGCGACGACACGCAAGCACGTATCCAACGTTTCGCGTGCGCAAAGTCGACGCGCTTTGGATGGACTCTACACGCTTGAAGGAAAGCCTCGTCATCTTTGTCATAAAGCATCAAATTTGAGCGCCAAAGGAAGGTTCCGTATCCAACCGTCATATGTGTTCCGCTCTGTTCCAGACACGTTATAGGTGTATTATATCCCGCTATCCCGCGCCCGATAACCCGGCAGATTGGACAAGCGGCGCTCTGGAGTTCATCTGGGGTTTCTGTGAAATACAGCTTTTCATAGTTCGATACATACCACCGTACCCATGGTATGGCGGAGCAGCGCTCGCAGGTCTCCCCCTCCAAAAAGTCCATGGCGAATCCAAGGTCAGTCGATCAGAGGCGTCCGCCACTGCATGCCCATTTGAACACGGCCTGGGAAGATTCGAAACACTGATTAACCGAGCGCTTTATGTTCTAGCAAGCTTCTTGAGGAGTGGTGTTGAGAGTCGTCCTTGGATCTCATAGCGATGCTTGCCCCGCGGTCCGCCTTACCTTGGCTTGGTGCGGCACGGGCTGAGCCTCACGAATGGAGACTGCCACGCATGCCGCTGCATGTGCGATCTGCATTGAACGGATAGCCCCCAATATCACTCTCGCGCGAATCCTGTACTGGTCTTCCACTGGCTCGTCTTGTGCACTGCTCCAACACCGTGATTGCCTGCCGGCATCTGCTCCGCCACCGAGCGTCTGCATTCGCGCCCTGCGCCCCGCGCCCGAAGTGGTTCCGCAATGATCTTGATACGTTCTTCGCGATAATAATCACCGTTGCGCATCGTGCCAGATTGACTGTTCGACAACAATGGCGATTGTTCGGCTGTACGAGCGCATGTGTGAGGAGCTGGTGAGCGGCGATGGAGGCACGGAGGGCTGCAGGCCCGGGCCCGACGAGCTAGGCGCGGTTAGCGGCACTGTCGTTATCACAACGGGCAAACCTCGCTAACTGACACCACCCTGTCTCGCGGCGCAATCCTGCTAGAAGGAGTGTTAGGTAAGTCGACTAGGGCAGTATCTTCCTAGGAAGTGCTGTCTACCTAAACTAATTAATTAGGGTGCTACGCTACTACTATCCTACCTACTCTATCTCTTCTCCTTCTTGCGCGCTTAGCTTATAAGCTAAGCAAAATACGCCTAGCTTCTTTATAAAGCCTTTCTTAAATATTACTAGTTATAAATATTAACCTAATTATCTACGCGTTAGCTATTATTATCTTATTAGTAAAACGCTATTAGATTGCCTTAAGGTAACGCATTTTAAAGAGAGCAAAAGACTTAACGTTAGTATTAAGGCCTATATAACTATATTAATATATAGCTCTAGCTTTAGTAATAGTATAGTGTTGCCTTTTAGATATATAATTATAGCTAATTATGTCTATATATTTAATAATAAGCTAAGTACGCTTAGTATTCTACTAGTAGTTCTTAGAGACTTTATTAATTAGAGTGCTAGTATAGGCTTATTAATAAGAACTATAGAGAACTAGAGCGTTAGATATAGTGTTAGTAGCGTTAGTAGCTTAATATATATAGCTTAAGGTTAATAGATAAGAAAGTATTGCTAAAGAAAAGGCAAAAATTTATACTTAACTATTCTTAAGGCAGCAACATCTCTGCCTAGAGTATATAATCTATACTAAACTTATAGTTAAGATAATACTGTAGTTGCTGTTACTAAACTAAAGAAATTAAACTAACCTAACTGTAGACATTTAATAAGTCGACCACCCCAAAGAGGGCGCCTAAGATGTCATGGTGTCGCCATCAAATGTCAAGCCAGCAGTGCGACAAGGATGTGCGCCCGCGCGACAACATCTCCAACGTTCTGCAGACGTGTGCATATGTTATCAAAGACTCGCTTTCCTGCTCGGTCAACTCGATGGGACGTAGGCTATTGTGACGCGACGCCTACGCTCACTTCCCACTATGCTTGCGGGCGCACGCCGCTTCTTGCCAAGTTCCAGTCCTTTCGCCACCGCGCGCACGGTTCGGCTGCTGCTCGCATGCATTGGCATAGCCATCGGAGTCAATCTTCTCGTCCTCCTCGACTGGAATTATGTGGAATCCTTACCAAGTGATATTCTAGGCAAACAAGCATTCCACCCCAAGCCGTTCGCGCCGCTACCGCATGGAGCCAACTCGCAAGGCGACGATGGGCTGGACTTCTGGACCTGGAACACTACGACATAGTTCAGAAAGATAAAATACAGTGAATGGCGGGACAGCTCCACAGAAGAATGCGCTCTCTGCCCAGTGCATCTGCTCTCGAAGGTTCAGGTCATCCTGAAGACCTGATCAGCAGACGACAAGTCACGAACTCAAGCCCAGCTCTCAACAGTCATCAAGCGCATCTCCAATGTTTTGATCGTTTCAGATGGCAATCATACCTATGGTCGCGACCATCGAACTATCGACGTTCTAGCAGATTTGCCACCGAACACGTACCTGAAACCAGAGGACTACGTCGTTTACGAGACGCAGAAGAACGCAAGTCGACACAGCACGAAGCTACAACAGGGCCATGAAGGGTGGAGAATTGACAAGTACAAGTTCTTACCGGAAGTTGAAAAGGCGATTGAGCACAACAGCGCGGCCGAGTGGTACGTCTTCTTGGAGAGCGATACATACATCTTCTGGGACAACGTCTTCCGTCTTCTGGAGAACTACAATAGTTCACTGCCTTACTACTTTGGATCGCCTTCGCCTGGAAGAAAGTACCGTTCTGGATCGCAATCCGAATCCGAGAAACAGGTCTGGTTCGCGTACGGAGGCGCCGACTTCATACTTTCCCAAGCCGCTGCGCATCGACTCGTTGATCGCCCCCGCAATGCCCTCGGTCTAAAAGGCCCTCGTCCCTCCACAGAATACAAAGAAGACATCAGAGCCGATTGTTGTGGCGACAGCATACTAGGGTGGGCGCTGCATGACAAAGCTGGCATCGATATCAGCGGTCTATGGCCCATGTTCAGCCCCCATAGACTCGAAAACGTCCCCTTCGGTGAGGACCACTGGTGCGAGCCCGTCATCAGCCTACATAAAACATACCCAGCTCTCTACAAAGACCTCTGGTCATGGGAGAACGAATGGAAAGCAAAGAGCGACCTTCCCATGCGCTATCGCAACCTGTTATACCGCGCCCTGCTCTCCGCCTTGCAAGGCGGACATCCGCAGCGCGAGAACTGGGACGCAGCCTTCGACGCGGGGTTCCAGCTCCCACAAAATTCTACAGTCCATACGAGCCTTGATGCTTGAAGAGTTGGGTGTACTGAACACGACGAATGCATGCAGTACACCTGGCATGGACGGCATTGCTACCTTGCCAAAGCCTTGTATATTGGTCGTGCGAAGCAGCCGGATGGTCATCATGACTCTGAGGACAGGAAGTACGTTAGTGGCTGGGATAGGACGAATATGGACGCTCTGAACTTTGGAAAGACGTGCGCAGAGGGGCCGCATTGGGTGAAACCAAGTATCGAGCGGAGGTATTGAACGCGTGAGGTATGTATGCGGGTAGCGACAAGAAGAAAACAGGCCCTTCACGATAATAGTGCGATTCTATCGAAGAATACGACATAGATTTCGGTCATACATCTACCTCAATCTTCAACTCCGATATCCTTCAACCCTCCCTGCCTCGTCCAAAAGATCTTCCAAGCATTTGGCCACCGCTCTTCCTTGAGCCCCCGAAGCCATTCCGTCACGGTGATCTCAGTATCCTTATACCGGATGACGCCGTTCTTAACGCCCTTCCAACCCTTCATCGGGCCCTTGATGTAGCGATGGTTCGCGCCGCAGAAGCTAAGCCATGGCTCTTCGGTCTTCTTCCCCGTTGGTTGGACTCCCTTCGTCTGTTGGACGCGCTTGGAGTGGCAATCTTCGCAAAGATCGCAGTTCGGACAGATGAGGCAGTAGTAGATTGGCTGAGTCCACGATGTGATGCTGGTTTCACAAGGCCCATCGCAGTCAAGGCCTCCAGCTAGAAAAACGTCCTCGTCCAGCTTGTCGGGTTCTGCTCTGGCGTCAGTCTCCGTTCCGTCCTTGGATTCCGTTCCAGCCACATCCTGTTCTCCCGGCTCTGTAGGATCCTGCTTCTCCTCAATCGGCTCTTCCAGAAGGTTCTTGCTTTCAACATCATGAGCTTCATCCGTCAGGAAATCGTTCCGAACAACGTCGCTGTCATTTAGCGGTTCGCTTTCCTCCTTCACTGGCTCTTGTTCTGCACCAGCTTCGGTGTCGCTCTCGTTGGAAGATGTCTCGGACTCTTCCGGCTCGAGATTACGTCCGTATATCGCAAGGTCAAGGATCGAGAATTGGGCGCTGATCGCGATTCTTGCATCAGCCTCCAGGCTGTCCAGAGATGCCAAGACTTTAGCCAGTAATCGCAGGCTCGACTGGTCGTTCCACGAGATGCTGTCTTCAAGGCCGGCGACACATTTCTTGAACAGCTCCTTCATGTATCTCTCGTACTCTTTCGCAGGGCCCATGATCCGAAGCATGTTTGCGCGGAGCATGTCGACATGAGATTCGCGAACGTTGTTGCTGTCGTCGTCGTTATCGTGGGCGCTCGGCAGATCCCTCAATGTATCCATGATTGCCTCTTTCTTTGTTGGTTCATCAGTCATCTGGAACTCACAAAACAGGATGTCTGCGAGGTGCATTCGGTGACGCGTCCTCGCCTCATTCATAGAGTCTTCATAGGCTAAGCTGGGCTTTGTTGGCAAAGCCAGAAGCTCCTGGCGTAGTCTCTTGCCGTTCTCAATGTCGCCCAACATTGGGTAATAGATGTCTGCGATCGCGCCTCGAATGTTGAACAGTTGTAGGCTTTCCGACGGAAGGATGTTGGCTAGGCTCCCTAGCCATCCGATGAGTAGGTCCGTCTCGTTACAAAGCAATGCTGCCTTTTGCATGCGCTTCACTGTGCTCTCAAACACATAGTCCTCGAGATTGTACGTGAAGAAACTGTTGCGCTCCTTCTCGGTCCAGCTCTTCAGGATTTCCATCAGCCTTCGACTATCGGTCTCGTCGTCGTTCTGGAATAGTCGCGTTATGTCGTCCAGGATTGTGCCAGCTAGTGGCTTCTCACCCTGCAGTCTTCGTGCTTCATTGTACGCGTGAAAAGCTTCATCGACCTCCCCAATAGCAGAATATGCGGAAGCCTTCTCCATCATGATACCGATACGTATGAACTTGATCTTCTCGATCTCATCTTTGGCAGATCCATCCGCATCGTAATTCGGCACCATGTCGTAGGCGTCGTCATAGTACTTGATTGCGTCGGGCATCTGGTCGCATCGCCTGTATGCTAATGCCAGCAAGCGCATCGTTGCGATGTTCTCCAGAACATCTCCTTTCATACACTCCACAGCTCTTTTCAAATGCACGATAGCTTCTGTAAGCAGAATCTCTCTGCGATCGTCGTAAAATGTCGTTCCGTAGTCGGACAAAGTGCCCCCAATCGCTCGAAGAGTCTTGTAGTCCGCGGGTGGAATGTCATATCGCGTGATGATAGCGTTCATGTAATCGAGCGGCTCGAATTGCTCGGAATCTTCGGCTTCAGAGGCGTTTGACTTCATACCATTAGGAATGACATCGAAGAAGAGGATCAACTTACACGAGACAGCGCGGCTTTGGCGAATCTGAACCTTTCAGGTATCCACCACGAATCACTTGCGTCTAGCCAGTTGTGAACATGGCCGTGAGCAAGCGGAAGTAGAACATTGTCTCGATCGACCGTGAGCGTCCAAAGTTTGACCTTCTCATCCAAGGATCCATCTGGTAATGTGGACACCCTAGCTGTCCAGCTGAAAAGAGTGTCGTACCAAGCGGTAGAGGTGTCTTCAGCGCGTTCAGGATAGATCTCCGTGTGTCGCGCTAGCATTTCGAACAGCTTGGCGACGTTGTGTGTGTTGTCCGTGATGCAGTGCAATAGTGTCACGACATCGCGGACAGCCTCAGGGCTCGCGGTATCTGCGTCTAACTCTTTAAGATGCTCATACCAATAGTTGATTGCGTAGTAATTCAGGCCGGAACTTCCCGCTTCGAAGGGATCTTGAGCGGCCTTCATCATGACGTCTACACACATCTGAAGTATGGTTAGGTGTGCAGCGGTGGCAGGCGTCCGAAATTCTGTTACACCATCGTCCTCGACGCTCACGCTCTTGAAGTACTGCCGGAGTGACCGGTCCTGGAAGGAAAGAGGGGGGTCTCCGTAGCCGAGCTCTGGAATACCATCATCTTTCACCTCGTCGTCCTCGTCTTCGTCTTTGTCATCGTCTTTGGCATCCTCCTCGAGCTGCCGTGATTGGGTAAGCTCAAGAATGCGGGAAGAACGGCCAATGACTTCTACTTCGATGTCGAATGTGTCATCCGAGAGAGCGAGTTGACACAGGCTCGAGGCTTCACCCAGGCTAAGCGATCGCTTCGAAAACGCCAGCCACGCGAACAATTTCTTCATTGCCTGGTATTGCGCTTCCGATCGATCATGTCGACACTCTTCTAGGAGAAGATCGTAAAGTCCGTGTAGGTTTTGAGGCATGTCCTTCAATGCTTGCGAGACCGCTCTTTCTCGACCGATGTAGTTGAATCTCCTGAGCATGTGCTCAACGTATAGCATACTGTCTGCGTGCTTCACTACTTCGCGCGTGATTGATGCCTTGGTAGTTCGAGTGAATTTGCGTATCCGCGGAAGTGTACGAAGACGGTCCTTCACGAGCATCCTCATGTCTGGCCTGATCTCATGCTTAGTTACCTCGAGTAAAGAAGGCTGCAGCATCTGTAGCGTGGGCTTATCGTCAGGTCTGCTCGTTGCGAAGACTGAGATGCTGGCGTTCCGGTGGTTCAGATCTGACAGAAACTGCGTAAAGGTTCCGCCTTCTTTCACATGCGCTTCGTCTAGGCCGTCGAAGACAAGGAAGAGACGGCCACCAGTTTCGGTGTCACTGGAAAACATCGAGAGGAAGAATCGTTCCCAGGTAGATATGTTCGCAGACTCACTAGGCCCCTGCTTGATCTTAGCCGCTACCTGTTCGGCATATCGGTTGTTCGATCCGGCGATCTGTAGCGCAGCAGAAGCGAACGCATTTTGCATCGACTGTTGATAAGGATGCTCTTCCTTGAAATAGAAATAAGCCAAGCAGTCATGTTCGCTTTGGCGCAGTCGAAGCTGTTGAACGACCGAGTAGGCTAGAAACGACTTTCCGACCCCCTCGGCGCCTCGTAGCCAGAGTAGAGGTACTTTTCCATCTACCCAGTCCTTGAACTTCTCGTGTTCACGGAGCCATCCAGCTGTTTTGTTCACCTTTAACTCGAGCAGTTCTTTGTCTTGCAGCATGTTCTCCTGGTGAGCGTCTTGCCATGAGGGAAACGCATCGTAGTCGTTAGCGAAGAACTTCTTCAATTCACGCAGGGCTTGGAACTTCCGGTCGCTGACGTCTCCCTTAGACTTTTGAGATGACTTCTTCTTCTCCTCGATCTCTGGCGCTTTGCTCGTCTTCACGGTGCTCTTGAAGATTTGCAAGATCAAAGCATGGTCTTCAATCTGTGTGTTTCGTACATCGTTGATTACAAGATGCAGATTGATCATGCTTTCGTAGACCTGCAGAATGCCTCCTTCCAGGTTAGAACTGTAGGACTGAAGTTTTTCATCGAGCTCGTCCAGCTTTGCATTGTTGGCAAGCACATCGTGCTGGACAGTTGCCAGATTACCGTACATTTCGAAACTGACGGTTTCGTTGAGTTCCTGTATGGAGGCTTGCATTCCGGCATAGGTCGCGATGAGCTCTTGATCGACCTCGTTCCACAATGCATTGAGCCATTGCTCTATAAGCTGTCAGCACATTCACAGCATAAGAGAAATGAACTTACTGAATCGTTTGTGTTTTATCAGTTGCTTCACCCTGGCACATACCGAAAGCTGCATTGAGAAGACTCTGATGACTGCGACTGCAAGCGAATCGGACTGCGCTTTGTTCTCGAGAAGCGAAAGTCGTTGGAAGAAACGGGCGGAGTATGCGAAGAACTCCTCGACACTGTCGTAATCTGCTCTAACCCCCGCGAAGGCCTGTCCAAGATTAGTACCTTTCCGTATGATGGGATTTTATACTCACGGATATCACACGACTCGCGGCAGTGAACACAAGTCCCACAGGCATCATCGGCGGAAACGCACTGACACAGGCTCCGACTGCAGCGAAGCCGTCAATGCAAGTTTGGAGACCATCAAGATGGTCACCCATAGCCGATCGAAAGCTCGC